TATAAAGAAAGTGAATATGATAAATATATATAGCTGTTCTTAGATAATTTCAGTTTTCCTGGAATCTCATTATAAACATAAAGCATGTCCCTATTGGATAGAAGTTTTCACAGAAATTAATTTTTAATTATTCAATATTGCCTTTTATCCTACCCCCACTTTCTCTCAGTAAGTTGGTGCAGGGTATAAATGTTTTCGATGTTATAAATCAGAAATGGAAGTTTTTTTTTTTTGCATTGATATTTTAATATTTTGTTAAATTTTTTATAACTTTTAAATTTTATTTTTAAAAATAGTTATTTATTTATCCTCTCCTCAAATTTGGCGTGTTAATAAATTAAAAGGCAATTCCAAGTTCTGTTAAGGATATTGGAAAAATTTCTTTTTTTTTTTGTTACTCTCTCTTAACTACCAGATTTCAGGGTTTGTTATTGGCTGTAATAAAGAAATAATTGTTTTCTTTTGCATTTTAATAAAATATTCCTTTGAATAATTTAGTTCTGATGATTGCATTAATGCTGACTAGTTAAATCTGTTAAAAATTTATTTAAATTTGGATTGCCGGTGAAGCGGGTTTCTACCCTACCATATTAGGTCTTAAAAGAGGATCTGATTAATGTAGAACTCATCGATTTTATTTAGTAATGAAGTATTTGAATGCAATATTACATTATATGGTACTATATTGTAATGGGTGTATCATTAATTGTATATTTTATTATATCCACTTGTACCTCTAAAAATTAGAAAAAATATTGTTTTTTTTCCCCTTTTGAATAATAATGACAATAATATCTTTGAATGCCTATAGTTTAATAATTAATTGCATTTATCCAAACTGATTTTATTTTATCTCAGTATTTTTTTTTAATGTATGTGTATATATATATATGTAAAAAATGTAAGGGATACTCTTGTTATTTAAGTAGCAATCAACTGACGAATAAGTTCTTATGGTTATGAATGAATGTAACTGAAATAAAAATGTTACAAATTTCATTCATTAATTCATGATGTTCTAAGTTGGAGCGTAATCTACCATCGTAAGTTTCGCATACACAAGGGTCTCCCTTAAATTGTTTATTTATACACACACATCTCTCTTAATAATGTAATATCTGTTCTGGAATTGAAATTTTTTGTAAATATTATTCGGGAAATATTTCACATTTAAGGTTGGTTCACATATTACTTGTAAAATACTCTCCTTCTATTTGTTCCTTTTTTTCTCTTAAGTGGCTTCATATCAAAGAAGAACATCTTTAATTTTCAGAAAGTAGGTTAAAAAGCCAATTTCTGTTTTATAGGGTTCTACTCAAAATCTTTCTGATGATTTTTTAAAAGAATTATATAGTCGAATCATGGGTGATAAATATACAGGACACAGTCTTTTTAAATTTTTTTTATTTTTGCCAACGTTTCAACCCAAACATGTGGGTCATCTTCAGGGCTGAAAATGTTTTTTTTTTAAATACAAAAACCGGTAACCATCCGGTAAACCATAAAGTAGACAAAGAAAAGATCTGCAACACATATTCGAATATTTTCTGTCTCCTAAAACAATAGTCTATGTAACCTTTAATATAATGCAAACTTATAGTATGATAAATATTGTTATTCTTAAAATATTGTATAATATATTGTCCTACATATCATTTCAATACATTGAAATTGTCTTTATTATAAAAATTATTTATCTAACCATTGTATACTTTTTATTAAACTAAGTTATATTGGCACCTCTTGCTTGTGTTCATTTCATTACTAGACAATAGTCAGATTTCTGTAACCATATGAAACAACTCAAATATTGTACACGTCCGAAATATTTAGTCAGAAAATTATGTAAATTTTTTTTTTTTTCCCCTACCTCGCCTTTTAGGCTATACGGGATTTTCCCGGGCCGGAGGGTGAGGGCAGGGAATTTATAATCAACTCCGGCACCGGGACACGAACTCGTACTTTTTAAGTCTTCTCAATTCTCTGTTATCCAGTTGCCAGGCAACTCGCCCTACTGTGCACACGCTTTAGCCCATTCGGTCACCCCGCCCCCATGTACATTCTACAAACATAAATGTTACTCCCCTTCCCCTCTAGCTATGTTTACCTACCTTACAGAAACCTATGTTACAGAAAATGTGCTTTTTCACAATTTTTTTTAAAAACTTATTTATTGAGAAATATTACATACAGTCTTTCACAAGTAAGGACATTCTCAACTTTTTAAAAATGATAGATGTCCATCTTTAATATAAGACCACTCAAATGTGTGAAAAAGATATAAACCTATTTACTATTTAGCAAATTTCACTTAAAAAATAATTAAATATTATGATTCATATTTACGTAGGTATATTAAAAAGCATGGTATGTCGCAGATCATCTAACGATATCAAGGCATGTTATACAGAATTTTTTCTCTTTGAGTCTCAGATGTGTGAACCATACCTTATCTTAATATATTATACACTGTCAGTATGTATAGTACATAACATATTTCGATTTATGTAAATGTTGACTGTTTGTCTTGAACTTCTTTGCTTAATAGTAATTAATTAATTATAAAATTCCAAATTAATGGTGATAAAAATTTCTGTTTAATAATTGTCCTGTATGTAATAATTGTTAGAAGGTCGTTAGTAACACGTTTTTAGAAATTCTGGTGTTCTAGATTCATTTACAAACAATTTAATGTTTAATCTGTTTATCTCTTATTGTGTAAGAGAAACATTCTTTAAGATGCCTGAAATTTTGCTATCGCAAACTGACTCACATAGTTTATATTTATTGTAATACGCATGTTTATCAATAACGTAGTTTTGTAGTTAAACGAATTTTAATAATTGTTTGTAAAATGACTGGTTCATTATTTATTATGTTTCCACCCTTATTAACAACTTTATTTATTTATTAAAATTTGTGAGTCAGTTTTTTTAAAAATAAATTGCAACTCTTTTTTTGTTTGATGATTTCTTTCTCTCTTTTTTTTTTTTTCACTACAACAGTGGTGAACTGTTTCAAACTTATTTCAAATAGATATATTAATTTTATCCTTCTGTTAGTTGTTATTATATGTGTATATATGTACGAATTATTTTCTGTGAAACACGTTTAAAAATGTTTATTAGAAAAAAAAAAAGTCACTTTTTCTAGCATTATATTGTAGAAGTGAGAATGCACGGTACATCAGAAGTGATGTGGTTTATGTACAAATTTGTGAATGTATTCAACTTTCAACTATTTGTGTTAGCAATAAAATGATAATTCTGAAATTTTACTTTTTTTCTCTTCTGTCACCTCATCTAAGGCTGAAAATATTTCTAGTTCGAAAACTAATTTCAATAAAAAAAAAAAGTTTTACGAAGATGGGCGAGTCATTGTTTCCAGCTTTGTTTTCTTTTTCTAAAAATGTGTAAATATTTTATCAGAATTTGAAGGATTGTTAATATTAGTTTTGTTGTTGAATTGGACTTGGCAAAGCTGAGAAAATTCTTTGTTGAAAAATATTAAAATGAAGCTTTATTTGTGTTTAGTTGTCTTTTTATTTTATTGTACAGTAATGTGAATAATTTTAGTTTTTCTGTATTAAATGTACACTTTGTAGGATTAAATTTTATCATATGCTTGATGTACCTCTCCTAGGAATTGATAAAATAAAAATATTTATGTCTGTACATATATTATTATACCTTTAATTTTTTTTTTTTTTATCGACTTTTACAACATTAGTCCAACCCAAATAAAAATTTTTGCCATCTTCTGTCCTGCCAATTTCCTTCATGCACAGCCTTGTTCATCATTACTTCCTTTATACCCTCAAACCAGTTTGTCCTCAGGCGATGTTTCTTCTGTCTTCTTTCTGGTTTCCAATCCAAAATTCGTTTAAACAATTGTCCTTCTTCATATCACATGCCCATTACCTTTTCAGCCTCATTGTTTCGATGGAGTACAGCAGGGGTTTCCAAACGTTTTGGGCTGTGGGCCACATTGGGATCTCGACTAATTCCTCGAGACTTACAATAGGTCCTGTGGGTCATATACTTCAGTTAAAAAGAAAGTTTTTTCTTTAAGGTAAATAAATGACATTTCAGTTGTGAAATTGAGCTTTCTAAAGGTACTATTTCGCTGGTACAGAGATTACTGGCAGTTGACCAATGCTTCAATGGAATAGAAAGGAACCTATTTCGTTGGTGCTATTGGGCAGTCTAGGTATGACATCATATCTAGGCCGCTCCTGAAGCAGTGAAGCTGTTGGTGGTTCAGCGGTTGTAGGTTATGTTATCATTGTTTTGATGATAACAGTCACCTTGAAACGTTTAATTTTCTATGTTTCTTTCAAGTCTGGCAAAATTATAAGAAATATTGTTTAAAACTTAAACAACACAATAGTAAACTATTTTTTTAAGGTTGGAGTTACAAGATTATTTATTTATTCCACCAACAGTATTTTACAACGAAATTCATATATACCCCAAACGTCATTAAATAAATTAACTAATCCAAAAAATTTTAACGTCAGGTAAATACTAAAATCCACACATTGAAAACTCGATTTGTTTTTTTCTGATTTACTGATTACTATTGATTAAACGATAGAACATCGCCTGAGGTGATTTCATTACAAATATATGATATTTATTACTAATCCATTATGTAATAATTACTGTTATCATTTTATATCATACTCAAAACAAAGTTGAATTGTCATTTATTCAATCTAAAAAAATTACTAAATTTCTCTTGTCAGCCACCAAATTGGTAGTTATCAATTTCGTATAATATATTATATTATATTGTTTCCAACCTTGCTTCCTCTTCTATTCCTGATAGCCCTCTAAGGCGTCTGAAAAGAAGATGGCCTCGGGACCTTCTAATATAGAAATATAATTGGAATGCTACCAATGGGTAGTTTCTCTTCATGTTGTACTTGTCATATTACTTTTGTTTATCATTTATACAGATATAAATTTCAATAATAAAAAAAAAAAATTGTATTAAAAATCAGGAATGAAATAAGATCCAATACACTTGTACATTACTCATTTTATTTTAAATTTTACAAATGATGGCATTGGTTATTTGTGCTACTTGAAGAATTCATAAAGCTACAATCTTTGTAGAGACCTTGTTTATAAAGGTATAAGCTGGAATGATATCTTCTATAATAGTCATGGAAGCTCTTACTTCTGGATAGAGCAGTTTCATTTTTCTGCGTGGGTTGAGTCGTTTCATCAAATGTATAACCGTTAACTTGTTTAAGCAGTGTTGAGTTGAATGGTTTCTCTGGTACATTCTGAAATATAATGCTTTCAGTATAGGATACAGTGGCTGACCCACAGGAGAGAAATAGGTATTTCCTCTCCCAAAATTTTAACTATTTCATATCTCAAACTATTTACACTATATATTATAATTATTATTTAATTTAATACAGTACATACATTTTAAAGCTCTAAAATATTTTTGGAATGAACTGTAATTCTTGCCGAAAGCTTCTAAGTTACTATGGTTGCCATGGGTTATTCTTACATGTTTAGGTTTTAAAAATTAAAATATTGATACATTTATTCTTCCTCTAAAGTACCTTTGATTTGATTTATTTTAAATAATTGACTACCTTTCATGATTAAGAGTAAAGAAAAAATGCTAAATAAAACTTTTGAAAGAAATTGATAATTGAAAAATGGAGGAAAATGTTTATTTAGGTCAAAAATGAATTTCCAGAAACACTAGTCAGAAGGTGTACGTATAATATTTAGTTTATCAAAGACTATCATAAATAGTAATTTTTAAATCTCATGGCAACAATAACACTGAAGAGACTTTAGAAAAAACTATAATTAATCTCGAAAACTGTATATTTTTGGACTTTAGCTCCTTAGTAACTTCATGTCTATATCAAAATCTTCAGAACAATTTATTCTGTCTTGATCTGTTCTCTAGTCCCATTTTGTTAAAATTATAATAATTATATTAAGCGTTAACATTTAGAATTGCAAATTTGTTACTTATCCATGAAACTCTTTTTCATATTATACCTTATTCATCAAAATCTATCACTTCTGAAATCCAGAAATAATATTTATAGTGCAGATAAGAAATAGATAACTGATTTTTTACAATTTCTCCCGTATAGTAGGTAATATTATGCCTAAATTCAGGGAGTAATATTACTCTGTTAATTTTATTTTCAAAAACTTCTTCCAGATCTGCCCCTCGTTATATATATAACGTATATATATATATATATATATAATAAAATAGAAAATAACTTTATTGTTTTATAAATAACTTAAGAATAACAGAATATTACTGAAGGAACATCTGACCAGAAAACTTGTTACATTAAAAAGCTTCTAGATAAAAACTTCAGTAAAAGTAAATAAACTATATATACAAAATACAAGAATTATATACAATAAAAATAAGAAATTAAAAAAACTATGAAACAAAATAATCGCTGCATAATTAAAAAGATTAAAGAATATAATAATCGAAAGAAATATACTAAAAAAGTATAAAAAACAAAAAACAAATAGTAGAATACAAAATAACGCCCTCTATTAGAACAAATCTATGAATAATAAAAGAAAATTCCAATTCATATTGAAATACACATACGCGTCCACACGAATATATACATAAACCTTGTTGTCAAAAGAAAGATGGTGTGAAAAAAATATAAATACATATACATTTATATATTATGTATAAAATATAAGTAATAGGTACAAAAAAAAAAAATAAATTAACAAATAATATTATTTTTTACATTATTACTTAATATGGGATTGACCGTTTTTTGACTGTTGCGAGAAAAGAAGTTGGAATAGGAGGGTTTTAAAAGTGGACAGGAAAGGAGCATGTCGAACTTTTAGAGGTAAGAAATTCCAGAATGAAGCAGAGCGGAGTACGAAGGATTTTTTAAAAGAGACAGATTTATGTAAAGGAGTATAAAGTTCAGATTGTTAGAATCTTGTGGTGAGAGAGTGGACAGAGGACTTGAATTGGATATATATATATATTTTCGCTTAGAAATTTAATAAACTGGTGTTAATTACCTGTTTTAAATCTACCATCATCTGCCAAATATTCTTTTGTCTTTTAAGTTGGCTCTTGCGGAGTTGACACTTGACCCTGTTGATGTGTTGTTTCAAGGTATTAAGCGGAGAGAAAATACTGAGGTTCTCTTCCGTAAACCTCTTCACTTCTCTAGAACATTAGTTTGGTTATTGAACTTATAGCTAAGTTGTACTTTAGGGCATTAAAATAATATATCATAGGGAAGATTGATATAATAAAAACATCTTCAGGAATAAGATGATTAGGGATGGTTGGTCAAGTAAAACTTCTATATAGTACATAAAATTTTACTTGGCTCAGCTCTGGTTTGTTGACAAAACAAAGACTGGAGGAAATAGGAAAACAGAGAAGCTGCAGAGATCGACCTGTCTAAGTACAGTAGGTGCGAACTCCAACAAAAGATTTGTTCCCACATTTTTGTTCATAAGGGAAATAAAAAACTTCTTCAGAGGATTGATTGTGGCAGTTTGCTTGTTATGTAGTCTGGCACAAAATATTCTGTCAATATTGGCAAATAGGGAGGGGGGGTAGCTGAGTGGTAGGGCACTAATCTTCCAATGCTCAAGATCTTAGGTTCGAATCCCGGCTCATGGCAGACAAATTATTTATTATATTTCATTAGCCATGGGGCGACCCTGGGGTAGGCAGACCCTCCTGGGGCACACCCAGTTTCAGATAACAAAAAGGAAAATAAACTAGCGAGGGTAGGTTCGGATATTATTTCCATAACCTCACATTATGTTATTTTCTTCTTTTTTTGTTAAGAAGCTGTTAAGTTATCCTGTTATTGACAATAAAATCTTCCAATATATAACAATTTGTATATTTGCCATAGTTTACTTCAAGTTATCGTTTTGAGATACAAATCCCATCTTCAGAACTTTATTCCTATCTGGCTTTAATTAGTAATTAATAGTTAGAAAAAAGGTTTATTAAAATGCATATATGTTACAATATCTTTTTTTTTGGGCCCTCCTCTTCCTGGCCAGGTGTGGGCAGTGATTTAAAAGCCCCAGTACCCCGGGACGTGAACCTCTGACTATTTAAAATCCATTATCTATATATGTTACAATATCTGTGAATGTTAATGCTATTACAAATTTGTAATATTTACTTAAATACCACGTCTGCTCCTTTATCATAATTTAAAATTTTATATATATAAAAGTAATATCTGGAGCAATTACATTATGGATTTAATAATTGGGTACCTGTTATCTATTTGGGGTTTGTTATTGAACTTTGTACCTGGTTATTTATTTTTTTTTTTTAATTGTATAAATGTTGGTTATATTACTGTATTTAATTTTACTATATTTTAATCTTATTTATATGTCTATGTATGTTCCTAAATGTTTTGTAGTTTACTGTTATTCTATTGTTTTTTGTGATGTGGATGGCTTCGAGTAATTTTCTATTGTTTTTTTTTGGTTCAGTTCCTATTATTTGTGATTTATTAAAATTGAAATTGTGTTGTTGTTGTTGTTAGAGATAAGCTGAGATATTCTGGTTTTTAGTTGTCTAGATGTTTCGCCAATGTAAATTTTAGGGCAATTTTGACAGTTCAATTTATAATGTATATACATTATACACATTATATACATACATTATATACATTTTTCTTATCTATTGAATCTATTTTATCTTTTGTGTCGGTAATATATTTGCTTAGGTTTTTGTTATTGTACTGTCCACGTTTGATTTCTGGTAAATCATAATTTTTAAAAACGTCCTTAATTTTGTTTATTTATGAATTGTTGTCTTGATTGTTCTTATATGTTGTATTTGTTTTTTCAAAGAATCGGGCAATGAATTGTGTTGGTTTCTTTGTTGTATTGCTTTCTTTCGGTGTTTTGTGTGTTTCTTGTTTTTTTTTTTTTATTCCTTTAAAGGTATGAACTTAATAATTTATTTCTATTATTTGTATTACTATTTTATGTTTATCTAATTTTTATGGAATATATTAGGAATAAACTCATAATAATTACCATAACTTATTTATTTTAATTTCGTACTTAGATCTGTGATTATTTATATAACTTTAAATTACATTTTGTCATTTATTACTTTGTTAACATTACTTTATAACTTCCTATATAATTTGTATATATGTTACTTATCATATATTGTCCACTCATTTATTATTAATTTTACTTTTTACTACTTATGGTAAATATACCAGTAATAGGCAGTTTTCAACTTATACAGGTAATAAGCTGTAAAGGGTCTCGTCCCAGAATAAATAAAGTATTATTATATTATTATATATCCTAAAGAGAGTGCAAATATGCGTAGATTTGAAGCTAGAACATTTAAGAGGGTGATGCCTGAATCTCGAGTGGTATCATGTCACAATAGTCGATTGTTAGTTGAATTTTTACTGGAGCAAGGCTGGATCTTTGTTTCAGAAATGTTCCTTATCACTTTTCTTAAGGAGATAAGTTTGAAATTTTGATTAATTTGTATGCAGTTTGCCATTTCCTTGTTTAAAACTTTGGAGAATTTATTTATTTTATTTTTTAATTATTTAAATGAAACAAAAGACTTTGAACAAACGACTGATAATACTATATTCGCTGGGTACTAATCTTCCTCATGCCTTAAATGACAATTTTCTTCACTATGAGATCACATCTGCTTATTGTCAATACTATGACAGGTTTGGATAGAAGTATGAAGAGAAAAAAAAAAATTATTCAAAAAGACTTGTTAACTCCAAAACCTGGGTGTCTATTGTTGGTGCTAAATACCCTGTCAGAATTTCTTAAGTTTTTCATATATAATTAACTAATTGACTGCTAAAAAAAGCTACAAAATTAGTAAAAAACTAAATTTTCTGTCAATTAAACCCATTTGGAAAGATCCATCGTCAGAACTAAAGTTGTGGTTCGTATTAATGTTGAAAATTTCTCTTAAAGTGTTTATTACCAGTACATTTACCTTACTAATCTTTATTTTTTGTCGCTATTTACACATATTAATCTAATTTATCCTATATTTTCGTGTTATCCTCTTAATTTTTATTTTTTTTTAAATGTACTACTTATCACAATATTTTATATGTATTTTCATGCCTTGCATTATATGTGTTTTGTTTGGTTGTTATATTGTCTTTCCTTAGCCCTGAAACTTAAGCTGGAACATTGGCATGAAATACATTTTTAAAAATTATTTTATATGTTCTCGGAATCCTTAAATATTTCAAATTAGATTTTTCTAGATAGAAGATATTATTATGTAAATACTGCATTTAAGTAAACAATAATATTTAAAGAAGATATTATGTTTATCTTTCCTGTTACTCATTAATACTATTTATATAATAGTAAATAAAAGATAAGAAACAAGATAAAGTGATGTGTTAGTTATGTTAAAAAATGTGATATATGTCTTAATATTTATTAGCAGGTCAAAGATAAAACTGCGATTACTCACTCTAAATGATAAGACAACGCTTGGTCGTTATAGAATGCGTCTCTTTCTGTTATGCTTTTATTTATTATCTTCACCATTGAAAGGTCTACCGATTCAACTTTGCTATTTCGTAACTCTTTCGGTCTTCTTTGTAAATTCTTAAAAACAGTATACGCCATTTCCAGGCTAAAATAAAATAAAAAAAAAAATTATAATTTTATTTTTGTCCATTTTTCTTCTTATCACTGTGGTTTACTTACAGTTTTTTAAGCCGGTCTAAAGGATTTTGAAAGGAATCCGTAAACGCTTGGATTTTTGATAACTTTGAACCAACTGTTGCTATTTTGTAACCTAACCTTTCTCCAATCTGTTTCAATTGCGACAGATCTTTCTTGCATTGTTCTTCTTCTTTCCTCCAATCATCAGGTCCAGAAACCCCTTGGAAAATCAGTTAATAGAATTTATATAACAGGCATATATTTTAAGTATAATAATATTAAAAGTTGTATCTCGTCAAGGCTCACAGTTTTGTTTACTATTTTTGGAAAAAGATTTTAGACTGAAAATTTGTATAGGAAATGGAGGTGGTAGTTTGATTTCACCTAGGTGATAGCAATTATTTTTCGATCTAGACATTTCCCTTCTAATAAAATATATTAATTATTACATTACATATAATATTATTTATATTGTGATATAATTATAATTATTATAAACTAGAAATGGAAGCACAATATAATGTACAATGAAAATATTAGAAATAAAAGGCTCAAATTATTGTTGGGCTTATATGAAGCTTGACAAGTTGAATATATATTATGGTTACAAATTAGCCATAAGCCACCGTGTATAATATGGATTTTTAAAGAAATTAAAAATTTGTCCGGACTGTGGTTTCGTTCAGTTTATTTTATGTCGATAAAAAATAATACAATCTGAATTATAGAATACATGTTATATTGGAGTTCTGGCAATGGCCAGATTCTTCACTCAAGTCATGAGTGTCCGTGGTTGTAGCGCCCTTACTGGCTTTCAATGCCAGTGAAATGGTTGAGGAAGAAGCGCAGGGATCTCCTGAAGCCTTGCTTTCCCTCCACTTGTGTGGGGATAAGTATGGTTCGGAGTTCCTATGCCCGACTGTAAATAGTGTAAATAGGTATGCCTGCATCTAAGATGTTTATTTTCATTACTTTTTTTTTTTTTTTTTCACTATGATATTTTATTTTGTTCTTTTGTAGCTTTATATTATTTGAAGTTAGCTTATTTTTTTTTATTTTTTTTTTTATTTTTATTTGTAAATATGGTGTGAATGTGCTCTCAGAACTCTATTATAAATGTCCTTTATTGAGACAGATTGTAATATTTATCAATAAACAAATAAAAAAAAAAAAAGAATACATGTAAATTAAAGTTATACAATTCGAGCGACGAGTAGTACACTTAAATGAACAGTTGTATAATTTGTTAAATGGGGGTTGGTCCGCTGTTGGGTGGACAGGGGATAGCCCCTTAGTCTATAAATTTTTTATGTTTTTGTAACCTTCCAATTAATTTTGGCTAGAATCTAACAGGTAGTTCATAAACTCAGCATGAATCGATGTCCAGCAGTGCTGGGCTCAACCGATTGGTAGATTTCATCGATGGAATTAATGAAGAGTTTAGGAACTTTCTCAAAATTTATATACTAAATTAAAATAAAATAGCTATTAATGATGATATACCTTGATTTTGTAGTTCAACACTTTCCCAGCATTTTATGTCATAATCGAGCGATTCTGAAAAAAATTTCATGTAAGCTAAAAGCTGCTGCAGCTCATTGTTAACGCTCTGTTCTAAGGATATCAATTGCTGATTGCACAGGATCACAGATAACCTATATTAAAATAAATTAATATTATTTAATTAAATATGACCAAATCATGGAAATATTCAATTTAGAAATTAATGTCAGGAGTATAAGAGAGGAGGTATCGTTTAATATAAAATTAATGAAGGAGAAGTTAAAGTAAAGAAGGAGGGAGGGGTTGAAACAGTCTCATATTTAAGCCTGAAATACAATGAAGAAAGCATAGGTTAAATATTGAACCATCTTTAACTGTCACGTATCTTTTTTAATCATGAAGAATGGAGAAATTTTGCTTTGAAAAAATAAATTTGCTGTCATAGTTAATGTCTAGATTGTACAAACTTGTTTATTTATTTCAATATTCATCATTTGCAACTGCGAATGGTTTATCTAATTTGATGTATTTGTTGATTTTCTGTGAATTTGCTTGATAATAATAATAATAATAATACTTTATTTATTCTGGGACGAGTCCCTTTAGAATAATACAGGAAGATAGAAATGTAGGCTAAGGAGCCTCAGAGATATATAAATAAAAATACAGAGTAATTGAACAGTCTTGGTGAAAAAACAAAAATATATATATATATATATATATATATATATATATATATATATATATATATACACACATATATACATATAAGTTGCTTTCCAATTTTGATCAGTTGATAATACAAAAAATAAAAAATAGATAAAAAAAAATTGGAATACAAATAATGAAGAACGAACTAATATTTTATGTACATATTTACAGTAGTATCTATTTACGATTTTATGGGGACTGGATGGATAAGAAATGATTGAACAGGCAGGATTTAAAGGTAGGAAGGCTATTAGATTGACGGATGTGGGAAGGGATGGAGTTGCCCTTATGTATAAATCAGAAGATCGGGAACGAACAGAGGATTTGAATTGAAGGAGCTTGGAGATGTATGAGGGACGGTGGGATTGGATGAATTGAAAGAGGAAGGATGCTAGGAAATACTTACGATGGTAGGAAGGATAAAGCCACTTTAACTCTGCATAAAAATGAGAAATAGAGGCGTCCCTTGGGATCCCGAAGATGAATCGTACAAAGCAATTTATCAAATGTTTTAGTTTCGCCTCGAGATCCCCAGAGAGGCCCCCATATACCATACAGCAGTAGTCAAAGAGGGGAAAAATTAAGAAAATGACTAGGAGCCTACGGGTTTCAAAAGGAAATAGGGGACGGGATTAATTTAGACGTTTTAGGATGGAAATGGTACGGTGGGAATTATTGGATATATGATTTTTCCAAGAAAGCGTCTGATCAATGGTTATTCCAAGATAGTGACTTTAATGAAGTTATTGATGAATGAGCATATCTCGAGGCGTTTATATTTTTAATATGTGTCGAGTAGGCAACAGTGTGGAGAAAATTGAAAGAACTACTTTGGGTTGAGGTGATTTGGAATTGAGGAGTTAAATATAAAGTATTTGTCATGGACGTAGGATTTTACTGTTGAAACGCTGACTAGCTTGAGCTGAGAGGAGTGGTGTGAGAGGAGTGGTGTGAGAGGAGGTCGGTAACCATTTGCATAGTGAACCACAGCTCAATCAGCAATTTACCTTGCATCTGTATCCTTTTCATATTCCATATAATAACATTTTAAAAAAATATTTATAGCATATATATAAGATTTTTAAAAAATAGCAAAGTTGATCATGTCGGAGTTAAAAATAAAAATTGAATGTTTGTGTATAAAATTTAATATTTTCCCTCACGTATTCAATTAAGAATTCTTCCACATCCATTGCATATTTTACACTGAACCAAAATAAAATAATTTCAGAGGTTGAAAATTTTTCGCAGAATTTTTTTATCATGTTGTTTGTATTTTGTATAACCCCAAAGTTATGCTCTGTATGTTCAAATTGGACTCAATATAGTGTAATATACACCTTTATTGGAAGTGGGTAAAAATGATTTAATAAATTAATGTTGAAGAATTAAAAGGCAAGCTAATCTAGTTCTACTAAAATGACAGCTCTGTAATTTCCCATGAAGGAAAATCCCAAAGAGGAGGAGGGACAAAGGTCTTTGTTTTGGCAAGCAGTTGGTGTTTGGCTTGAGTGAAAAGAGGATGGGAGAAGTGATTCTAGCTCCAGTGGGTAAAACAAAGGAATAGTATTACCATCTTGGAAGTTGTGTTTGGCAGAAAATTAGAAAGCATTTGAAGACAAATGAATTTAGTGCAACAAAGGAAGAAATAGTATCTATAGAAAAAAGGTTAGCTTGCCAATTCATTTGCAATTGCCAATTCACTGACTTTATTTTAAAATACATGTTTAATTTTAGTATAAATGTGTAAATAATAATAGTTTGTCTGAGTTGATCTGATTGTCAGTAACCCACACCTGAGATAAATAAATAAATTAATACTATTATAATTTTGTTTATTATTAAACAACCTCTTATTTATTTAGAAAGTATCCTAATAGTATTAAAGTGATCTTTCGAGGTTATATTATTATTATTTGTAAAACATAAGAGGTATGTTACCATAGTGAGTAGATTGGTGGCAGTTAGTTGCTTGTTTCATAAGTTGAGGGAGAATCTGAAGTATAGAACCACTTTTGAATGTCAAATAAATGGTTCCGAAGGGCTATAGGTCCTAAAGTCGGATTGCTGTATTGTCAGCGAAGATGAAGACGATGGTGTATACTTAATACAAAATTTTTATCAGAACTAAGTCGGTGTAAATTTTGTTATAATCATAGAATCAACAAACTCTTCATTATAATTATAATAAAAGCTAAGCAATTCATTGTAGCTAAGCAATGTATTACTTTATCACTTACAACTTCACAGCATATGATTCCATGAAAGCCTGGCAAATGGATACTTCTCTTTGCAAAAAGAAGACAGCGCTTGCCCACATCTTCTTAAGAAAATAATACTTGTGCGGAGTTCTCGGGCTATCCATCATATCATGGACGAGTGGGGGAATCTTCACCTCGTAATAAGGTACTTCCAACCCATTGGTATGGAACATGTAGATCATCGCTACCTGAAAAATAGTTTTGATGTATAATTCATAGTTTATTTATTTATTAATATCAATGTATTTTTTTTATTACACCTTTTGACTTTGACTTTTAAGTCATGAGTCTTCTTCAGTAGTTTGGACCTGTTATAGGCAACAGTAGTACTTTCCTGAAGGATGAATTTTGGGAAGGATTGATAAATTGGAATCATCGATGAGCAAAAGGAGATTAAGAGATTTCGGCATATTAAGAGAACGGATCGAAATAGGTTGAACAAACAAATATTCGATAAAGTAATGGGACTGAAAAACATAAAAGATTATCCGGAACAAATTAAAGGAGAAGTAAAAACGCTGCAAATTTTTCCACAATGGTTTATTATTTCCAAACAATTATATATCTAAAGTAACATTACCTTCCGAGTTACAAGAAAAATAAATAAAAGGTGATTCCAATTATTGGACTAAACTATTTTTTTTTAATCATTAGTAATATGCTAAAAAAAATAGCATTACTTCAGTAACACATTCAAAATTTAAAAACCAAACAAAGGATATAACATTTGGAGTAGAACATATAAAAAAAAAAAAAACAGGAGACCATATCTTTCCTCCTAATTGTCTGATTTTAACGATTTTTATTTTTTTTTTTTTTTAGGAAATTCCATAAACTTTTAAAAAACCATATACAATATCAACAAAAAAGTGTATACTTTTTGAGTTATTCGGAATTTAATTTTAACATCCCTCGTAACTTTTTTTCCAGCTTCTTTTCGTTGAAGTATGTTATATAGATAAATTTAAAGGGTGTCAAGAAAATGACTAGCGAAGTTTCATTGAAATCGGTACTTCGTTTAGGAGCTACAGTCTATAGCAACGCAGGTTTTTCGGCCGCCATTTTGAAAGTAAAAGGCAGATAGTAATGTCGATGAAGGAGAATCATCCTAGGTTGACCTCTGATTTTATATCCAAATTTGAAAAAAATCGGTCCAGTAGTTTCGGAGAAAATGTGCGGATAAAAAATCTTTTATTCGTTTTTCGAATTCTACGTATCCTGAAACATGAAACCTCAAATTTTGAGAGGGGGTTAAGTTTTTGAATTTTTTGGTCGATCACAATGGTTGATTATTGAAAATAATAAACCAAAATAGTCATAACTATATACACTATTCACAAGCAGGCGAAGGAACTCCAAAAAGTGGGCATCAAAGAGGAAGACTACCTACAGAGATAAATTTGGGAAAATATTGAAAAATATAAAGGTTCTTGTAGCCAAAAAGAATGAGCAAGAAAATAAGAAACGGATAGAGGAAAGAAAGAGGGAGATGGGAGAAAAAATGAAAAGAATATGAGGAAAAACTTAAAAATGATATACGCTTGATCAATAGTTGGTCTGTATCACTATAAATAAATAATAATGTGATAACTGTGTCGTATCTTCATTTTTAATTAATTAAAAAGTAATAACTTAAATATATGTATATATGGGTGTCATTTCAAAATGTCAGTCACATATGGGAATAAATTAAAAAAAAAGAAAAAGAAAAGATTAGCGAAATAGTAGGTTTTTTGATTTCTTAACAATCTTTGTAATTGTTTTAGGAAATTAATAATGTGAGAATACATAATCTTCTTCTTAATCAATTCCTCTTCTATCGCTAGATCAGTGTAGAGGATACTCTTTATAGAGCTTGATCCATTTATCTCGTTCCCGCACCAGCTGACTGCGTTTATTCCAATGCATTCCTCTCCCATCGAAATCCTCCCTGACGAGCCTTCCCAGGTCTTTCTGGGCCTTCCTCTCGTCATTCTTCCTTCCAATTTACTTCATATATAGTTTTGGCCATTCTTCCCTCCTGCATTCTTTTGACATGGCCAAACCAGCGTAGCCTGTTTTCCTCAATTGTGTTTTCTTCTGGTTTTATTCCCAAATTGTTTCTTATCGTTGTATTCCTGATTTTGTCCCTCCTAGTTTTTCCCTCAATTCTCCTCAGAAACCGGATTTCCATTGCTTGGATATTGCTTTTATGTTTTGGGGTTATAGTCCAGGATTCACTGCGCTAGGTCAGTATGGGGACAAATGTATTTTTATACATCGTCTTCTTGACATTTTTTGGCACTCCTCGCTTTGCTAAGAAGTCTGTTTTTAGTGAATGCAAGCATTTGCTTGCATTTGTCAATCTTATTCTTTCTCTGATTTCTCCATCTATCCAACCGTTCTCATTCAGAAGGGCTCCCAGATACTTAAAGTCTTTGATATGCTCGAGTTCCTCCCCCTTCAATCGAAGTACTCGATCTTCCCCCTCTTCTCCTCTTCCTATCCTCATTATTTTTGTTTTGTGGATGTGTATTTCCGTATTAAGCAGTTCTAATTTTTCCTGCAGGATTCAGAGGTCATATTGGAGGTTTCTTCGTTGTTCCCGAATACCACAATATAGTCGGCATATGCCAGAAGGGTGAGATAAACTGGTCTTAGCTCTCTGTGGCCCAACCTAAAAGTTCTCATTCTTTCCTTAGCTCTCTTCAGCGCCATTTTGAGCACTATTATAAATAATAAACGGCTTAGACTAATAATAAACAGCCCTGCCTTATTCCTTGGGTGCTCTGAACTTCCCTAGAGGTGTGGTTATTGGTTCTGACCTTATTTTCTTTTTATATAGGCTAAAAATGGCCCTTGCTAGGTCTGGATTGACTTCATGCTCGTTCAGTACCCTGTTTATGTCCGTTTTTCTGACCTTATCAAATGCTTGGATTAGGTCAACAAATACATAATCATCAACATAAATATAGAAATCATATCATTTTGAAAAAAAAGTTAAAATACTTAAAAAATGAATAAAACCTTTATCTTTCAACTAACCTGATCGGATTGATCCCAAAATTTGCAAGCTAAAGAATCATCAGGAATCTTTTCTCCTGTCGGTAATAGCAGTAACTGCTCAGCGACTGGCATCTTAATGTCTCGTTTGATCCACTCCTTCAGAGTTGAAACGGCAGTCGATGCATCAACCTCATAAGAAAGCACTTCCAATGTGACGCTACTGAACACTGTCATAATCTATAATATAATCAATAATACTAATCACCTTGTTAATTATTAATTTAAAAAATGTAAATTCAAGGAAATGCATTATGCTATAATAGTACGGGTGAAATAAGCTAAGATCAGACTATTCTATCCGAATAAAGTGATGTTCTGTAAAAAGATCACTCTTTTTCAAAAGTAATATAAATAAAAAATACCAAGCGGGTTTGGATGACCACAGTCTTCTCACAATTTTAAGTTACAATAAAAAAGTAAATATACATAACAATTATTTATACTAAAAATAAATGCTTTGTCTCCAAATTATGTTATTTATTGCATTAAAAGAAAAAAAAAAAGATAAGCAAAAAAAAGTTAATGATAAAAATGTAATTATAACAATATGCCTGATGTCTGCCTGGTGAAACTACATAGAAACTTAACGCTTATTCTGAAATAAAAATTTATTTTTTAAATATATTAATGACAATATTTTAGCTTTATTACTTTCTTGGATGAATATTATCACACTTTTGGCGGCATTTTAAGGCATATTATATGACATTTTTTATTGCATATAATTCTTTATTATACAAAAAAGTTTTTAGTGACTATGTAATATATTATTTTATACATAGTGTTAGTTTCCGGGTACTATGCTCTAATCCCATCACCCAGATAAGATTTTTTCTAACTGTTCAAGATGTAAATTTTTAACTACTCTCTTTAACAATTTCTATCTTAGATCTTTTTCATTAATATAATTTGTAAAATAGGGGGTTGGTTTGCCGTTAGGTGGACAGAGGTACTCCCTTAGTAACAAATAAAAAAAATTATAAATATGTTAGTGTATCTGTAAAATTTTATTCTCTGATATCTGTAATCTATATAAATGATTATGAAGAGAAGAATAGTTGGGGTGGTCAGTCAAAAAAGAAGGCAAAAATAAATGATAATATTTATTTTTAAATATGCCAACGTTTCGACCTGAAGTTCAGGCCTTCATCAGGGCTAAGAAAATTACCAGATAACAAGGTATGAGAAACATAAGTAGTGATGGTAAAAAAAAAAAAAATAAATTAAAAATTATTAAAAAAAAAAAAAAAATAAATAAATAAATATAAAGTAAAATGAAATTGTTAGAATAATGACTAAGAACTAAGAGATAAATAATAATAACCGTTACAAAGTGTGGAATGATGAAGTAGGTGTAATCAATAATAATCTGGTTATTTTCTTAGCCCTGATGAAGGCCTGAACTTCAGGTCGAAACGTCGGCATATGTAAAAATAAATATTATCATTTATTTTTGCCTTCTTTTTTGACTGACCATCCCAACTATTCTTCTCTTCATTATCCACGACAGTCAACCATTTACCAATTATGTATATAAATGATTACTTACCTTTTTAGCTAAAATGAAGTCTAATTGAGAAAATATTATTAAATGATTCTTGTAGTCACGACCTCTTCTTTTACCATTCCATTCTAAAGCTAGTTTCAACCAATCTTCCAGCTCGCACCTGAGTGTCCTAAAATTGATTTTATTATTTTCTAAGCAAAATTTCAGTAAATTAAATTTAAACTTATCTATTCTGTTTTCTATCTATTCTATTCTAACAATAATTTATATAATTTGTAGACATACATAAAAATCTGACGTTTCCATCTGATTTTTAAATTTTGAAAACTCTCGAAGCCTGCTCATTTACTCTGAAAAACAGGGAATGCGTTTGTCAGAATGGGTTTTTATTTTTTTTTTATGATTTTATTTGTTTCTCTTAATTTTTATCATTAGTAATGAGTATATTAAAATGTTCCAAAATAGTTTTTTTGTTTATCTATCTGCTTCATTTGTGCTATTATTCAGCAACTTTGACCAAATTTAACTATTCAACCATCATCAAGCATGCTTTTTTTTTTTTTTTTATTGGTTTTGTGGCCCTTATGTTTTTTTTTGTTATCTTTCAGACACTCTGATCTGCTTTATGAATTTTTATTAAAAGAAATAAAGATTTTTAATAATTTACACATACATTTATGAAAAAAATGAATGCAATTCTATTTCTTCTAAAACGTTTTTTTTTAAATATATGAGGTGTAGAATTCCAAAACCCTGTTAAATCTATTTTTGTAAATTTTTCATTGTTGTCATTAAAAGTTGAAGTTGTGCCGTTTAGATATATTGCTAGAAAACAAAAAATTGACATACCTCCGACAGCCAAATACATTTTTGGTTTGGTTGGTTTTGGTAGACTATTAAAAAAAAATCGCTTCTGTTTGTGCAAAAGTTTATCATAGCAAAAAAAAAAAAAAACTTTAAAAACTCACTGAGAAATGTGATTTTGTGTTGAGAGACTTTTGCAATACTCGATGGACTCGTCTTCATTTTGGTATATACATATATCATCTGATGCTTTTTTCTGCACCAAAGGCATCCTTAAGAATAAAAAATGTATATATATACTTTATTTATTAAAAACAAAATAATATATTTATATATTAAAATACAGTGAAATATTAATAGTCAAATTGTTATAGGATGATTTGATGACAAAAAAGTTTTGATTTCAGTGTTTAAGAAAACTTAAAATATCTGTGGCACCTGAGAATAGTGTGTAAGTGCAAAAATCATATTTTTAGAAAAACACAATTGAAAGTTTAAATTACATTTAAGTTACTCATCTCTGTAATAGCCGAATAACTTAGTTCATTAGACAAAAAGAAAGAAATCTTATATTTCCTTTAATATTTTAAACCTAGGCACTGTTTTTTGTATGGTAATGAATTTGTTATACCGTTATAATTTTTACTTTCTTTTCTCCCCGTATGGTAGATTATTAAATGAAAGTTGTGTGATATGCACCTTATCAGGTTTTTTGGATTAAAATTTTTGAGACATTCGAAATGAATTGAAATAGCCTATTCTAAAAATGATAAACAATCCCTATCGAGCACCTCCCATTCCTATAATGCTCCAAGAATATTAAAATGGCAGTGGGTCTGCAACCTTTTGTTGATATATTTATTGGAGTTCTGACCAGATTCTCCACTTAAGACATGTATCAGACTATATTGCTCTCGCACAATCTCCACTGGCTTTAGCGCCAGTGACACGGTTGAGAGAGTAACACAGGAATCATCTGGATTTCTACTTTTCTCTCTATAGTTGGAGGGACAAGCCTGGTTTGGTGTTCTTTCGCCTGCTTGTGAATAGTGTATTACTGTATTGGTTTATTATTTTCAATAATCAACCATTGTGATCGACCAAAAAATTAAAAAACTTTAACCCCCTCTCAAAATTTGAGGTTTCACGTTTCAGGATGCTTAGAATTCGAAAAACGAATAAAAAATTTTTTGTTCGTCCGCCGTCCGCGCATTTTCTCCGAAACTACTGGATCGATTTTTTTCAAATTTTTATATAAAACCTGAAGTCACCCAGAGATGATCCTCCTTCATCGACATTACTATCCGCCTTTTACTTTCAAAATGGCAGCCGAAAAACCTGCATTGCTATAGACTAGCTCCTAAACGAATTTACGATTTCAATGAAACTTAGCTAAAGTCATTTTCTGGATGCCATTTAAATTTATCTATATAACATATTTCAACGAAAAGAAGCTGGAAAAAAAGTTATGAGGGATGGTAAAATTAAATTTCGAATGACTCGAAAAGTTTATACTTTTTTGTTGATATTTTGATAAGATGTTTCAAAGGTATTTAAATTTTTAAATTTCCTAAAAAAAAAAAAAAAAATCGTTAAAATCGGACAGTTAAGAGCAAAGATATGGTCTCCGGTTTTTTCTGCCTATGTAGATATGTTCTACTCCAAATGTTATATCCTTGGTTTGGTTTTTAAGTTTTGAATGTGTTACTGAAGTAATGTTATTTTTTTTTTTTTTTTTTTAGCATATTACTAATGATTAAAGAAAAACAGTTTAGTCCAATAATTGGAATCACCTTTTGTTTATTTTTCTTTGTAACTTGGAAGGTAATGTTACTTTAGATGTATAATTGTTTGGAAATAAACCATTTTGAAATAATTTGTGTTTTTTTTTTTTAATTTACTTATGTTTAAGTTATTTTATTTTTATTTATTTTGTGTACTTTTTGATTATTATTTAGTTTCTGTTCATTTTATATTTTCTGTACATATAGTGTGAATGTAATCTTACTGCACTATAATTATTGTCCAAATGACTGAAAGTTAAATTACTTAATAAATAAATAAAAAATGTTAAAAAGCATTAGTTATTGTCATTACCATGAATAAGGAGCCATGTTCGGTAAGAAAGGTCTGGTCCCAGTAATTATTTCATGGCAAACAAGTCCTAGACTCCAATAATCAACAGAACTTGTGTAGCTATGGAAATAAAAAAAAAAAAAAATTATCGAAAGTTATAATAATTTAATTATATTATTAACAAACAATACAAATATTACTTTTGTGTAAATAACTCCGGTGCAACATACTGCAGGGTTCCAACAAACGATGAGCAAAGACTATTTTTTTCTAGTTCTTTCGCATAACCGAGATCGATCAATTTGAATACGACCTACATTTATAAAATATAAATCAAGATTGTGAAACCTGAAAAAGTACTTGAATATATTTTAAGTTATCAGAATTTAAATATTTTTATTAAATTTCATATAAATACCTCATTGTTCTCATTTTCTTTCATTACAATGTTTTCAGGTTTCAAATCACGGTGAGTTATGTTTGCGTTATGAAGATATTCGACAGCATCTTTAATATTTTTTAACACTTTTCGAACGATGATCTCGGGTAATCCCGAACAGTTTTCAGGATCATTTAAAACCTGTTTTTGTAATTTAAAGCAGTTATGATTTCATACAAATGCCATAACAGTTAACAACTTAAATCTCTAGATTAACAACCAAAGTTGGGCAGTTTTTCAAATAAGATATTTTAAAATACAAAATAAAATATATTTCTTATGCTTCACATTTTAAGAAGTAAACTATAAAATAATTTTTTTTTTAAAAATTCAATAAAGAATGATTATTAAAAAAAAGAGATATATTTTTAAAAAGGCATTGTTTAATTTAAACATTAGTGAGATTATACAAACATTTATTTATTTATTTGTATCTGTCAACTTTATATCGACAATCAGTAAATATGTTGTAAAGATTTGTAGAGATATAAATGACATGTCAGATATGGGGAAAGAAAGTACTCAGCAATACCTCTTCTCTGACTTGTTTCAATTACTTAGGTTGTGTAAGAAAAAAGATCTCTCATCCAACGCCTTTTTAGTCTCCTCCTTATATTCAGGGATATTTTAGCTGTGGCCATGTATCTTATTTAAGTTTGTATAAAATTGTAGGTAAAGGATCGTTATATGTCGGTCAACTGTTAGAAGCTGGTGGTCAGTATGTAGAGTTCAGTTAGTTCACGCATCTAAGCGATTTTGTTATGAGTCGTAACAATTCTGATTGGAAGATTTGAAGTTCTTGTTATTAAAAGTTGTTTTTTAAAATACAAAAAAACATTTATATTTTCTTCCCAAGATAATAAAATACAAAAAATGTATTTTATTTTGTACATTAACTAAATCATGATTTTTTTATTTATTAATATTTTCAAGTATTTTTTAGCAAAGAAAAAGGAATGATTCAATTTATGTAATATCTTAGATTGGAAATGAAATAATTTGATAGAAATCACTTTTATTTTAATTGTTTCAGAAATAATATTAATTGAATAAAATAATTTATTCCCAATTATTTTTCGAAAGTATATCTACTGTCTACTAATCTCATAATTCCTTTCTGCCAAAAATAAACCTTTTTTCCTTTATATTTTTATGTAATTAGTTATAAAGCTCCACTTTATGAGACATACATATTTTGAAATAAAAATACAAAATATTTTTAGTATTTTGTATTTGAAATATTTTTTTTTTTTAAACAGCTAAAATATATTGTTTTTTAAAAACACTAAATATTTGGTATTTTAAAATAATAATTTTTAATTACCAAATTTATATGTGTTTAAAACAACAATGATTATAACCAAATGACAAATTCTTATTATGAAGTATTTTATTTATATTATAATTTATTTGACCCCTATCAAATATTAGCGGTTAATGACACAATGTGAAAAATACTTCTTTCATTATTGGCTTTGTATTTACAAGTATAAATATTATTACCTTTCTCAGGTCACCTTTTTCACAATATTCCATGCATAAAATAGGATACTCAGGCGACAAACATAATAATTCACTTGGTAAAGTTATAGTTTTAACAACATTCGGGTGTGAAAGTCTTTGCATTATTTCAACTTCTTTAGCCCATCTCTCGACACACAAAGATTTAATTTTATCACTTGAGCCTTGGATACGCAGTATTTTCAGAGCTTTAATGAAACAATACAACATAAAATAAATTATTTAATTAATTAAATGTTTTCCAAGTTAAAGTAAATCAGTAAACAAACAGATTACTAACCTATAGACGTGTTTTCTACTTTATTTGTCCACAAATCTACGATTCCAAACCCTCCGGAGCCTAAACATTTTTCTTTATACCAATTTCCAACTTCCTTTATTTCAATATTCATTTTGTTATAGTAAAATAGAGTTAAAGATTAGTTTACAAGCTTCTAGTGGTGGCTTGTTCTAAATTTAGAATTCTCATCCAGTAGGCATATAGGAACGGAATCTGTTATAATTATAGAAAGAATGGCACCTTTACCAAACTGAGGTCATATCTAAAAATTCATATTAGCTACTAAGAAATATTTTTTAATGATTTAATTAATTATGAATAATTGTATTTGTAAATTAATTCGGTTTGTTTTATAATTTAAATATATATATTTAGAAAAGCCTATGCTATTTTAATTATTAGAATTTGTGAGTTAATTAGTAAATAAAATAAAATTTTATTTATTAATAATTAATGAATTTACTTTTTTAAATATAGTTAAATAATTTTAATAGTAATTATAATCGATAAATATTAAACGTTGTTAAAGTATAAGCACTTTCTGTATCAAGATATGTTCTGTGGTTGTTTGAAATAACCATTGTAATGATTAAAACATTGAGTAAATATTAAATATTTATAGAAATAATTTATTGTAAATAAATAAATATATCCTCACATTGTAGTATAATTAAGTTCTATTGACTTAATTTTAAAAATATAAAAGCTCTTATTGTTTTAACTGATTGTTTCCCGTCAACAACAATAAAAATGTTAAAATGACTGCGTCATGACTATTTAATTCTCTATGATGTAGAAGAGTAGACTAACTCCCTTCTGTAATTATTTTAATTACGATATACAGTAAAATTAGGAAAAAAAAAACTTGACACTCATGGATAAAAAAAAAAGATGAAAGATCAGAAATTGTTCATCACTCTTGTCATAATTACTGGTAAAAGATCTGGACCTTCTGACCTTTACATCTGTTCTCACAGATCATTTTTGTTATTGTTTTATTTAGGCCAGATGTAGTCTTTTAATTCTGTACTATTTTGTTATTCTAAAGGGACTTTGTTCCTGAATAAAGTTTTTTTCTATTTCTAAAATGTCTCAAGAATCCCGCTTCGGGTTTTGATAGGGTGAGAGGAAGAACAACAGAAAACTGATATTTTTTTGAGAAAATTTCAAAAACTATGAGATTTATCGCAAAAATTATTCAGTATAATACTGATGTACTTTAAAATCCTCCAACTAGTATACAGATATGAGAAGGAGTTGATCTAGAAGATACAAACAAAAATGGAAAATAAGTATGAATATAAATAGAATATAAAGGAGAATATAGCATGTAAGTTAAAGGTAAACAGGTTGTTTATTATTATTATATTTTATTCTACTTTATTTACTTGGTGCTCACTTACAAGAGGAATTTATTTTTGATTTATTGCTTTTCTTCCTATTTTTTTTTTTAATCCTTTTTATTTATTTATTTTTTAGTTAAGCAGCGATTATTTTATTTCATTTCTTATTTTTATTATGTTTAGATATATGTATTTTGTATATAGTTTCTTCAGTTCGGTTTTGTATATTTTGTTAGTTTCATAAGGTTTTTTTAAAATTTATTTATTTAATGTAACTCTTTTTAATTAGTTTAGTTCTTGTGGCCAGAAGTATTTCTTTTGTTCTGTAACTTTTTCTAATTTTTGGGGGACTTCGTCCCAGAATAGTCATTTTTATATTTCTATTTCTATAAAATGCTATTGCAAAGGATTACAATGCAAAAGAACTAAGAAAAACAATAACAAGAAAAGAAAAAAAAGACATAAGCAATTTTTTTTTTCATGGTTGCAATTTTTTATTTACTAAAGAAACTTTGACAAAGTTATACTTTTGGTAAAATATAAAACTTGATAGTTTAACAATATTTTTTGAATAAATATGTCTTGTAAATAAGTCAGCTATTCTTCCAACATTCCTGACATCAAAGCGCTCGTTGAATAGGCGAACTGAAAGATCTGAAAATAATAAATGTGTATTAGTTAACAAATTATATATTTGTAATTAACAAAATAATATCGTCGGCACCATGTTTAAGTTACGAATGTGAAATGTAGGGCAGGTTAACATTCATTACCTTAACATTGTGCCGGGGATATGTGGATCTATTTAATTGAAAATGATATTTCGCTTGAATTAATAATTTCGATTGAATTAATTAATTCTTTTACTGAGTTGTTTATAATTTTAAGGGAAAAAAATAAAAAAACAAGAAAAAATGAGCTGTAGAGCTTCTTCCTATTTTCCTGTTATTTTTTATGGAAAAACAGATGAAAAGGTTTTTAATTATTTAAATTATATTTAGCTGAAATTGATTAAAATATTAAAGCTTTGAAAATTATTACATAACGGTTTATTATTTTCGAATAATTCTTAATCAAATAAGTAAGGTGTATCTCAAAATGATCTTTCATAGAACAAAATAAAGTATATGTGTACCAAGCCACACAGTGGTTGAAAGGTGTAAAAACATACTTTTTTTAGGTATTTAAAAAATTATTTTCTTTTCGTCAATCAAAAATATTTGGTTGGCAAATAAGCCCTTTCGGTTTTTATGTTTATTTTTATGCTACTATGATACACTTCTTATCTGATAAATTAATCCTTAAGGTGGATTGTTTATCCTGTTTGTAATATGTCAACAAATATATATCTGTTAATTCTTGTTGAAACTAGCTTAGTATAGTGTTTGCTATTGCACTGTGAATATGTAAGAATTCATGGCATATTTTGTTGTATTATTTTAAAAAAGGTTGGCGTGCTGCAGAAGTTCATAGAATGATTTGTAGTGTTCATGAGGATGGTGCCTTAACCGCATGCACCTGTCAAAATTGATTTGCCAAATTTTGACATCAATGATGCTCAACGATCTGGTCGCCCACCTGAAATTGAAACGAGCAATGTTAATGCCATTGTTGATCAAAATTCCATCCAAGCAGTGCGAGAGATAGCTATGGCTAGTGTTGCCCAAATGCGAAACAGAGACGATTCTTGGTCTTGCAAACTCAGTCTTGGTCTTGCGCAAGACTCTCGGAACAGTCTTGCAGTTACGTATTAGCTTATTACTAGACAGATATTACTGTAATTTTTTAGATATGAGAAACATAACTTAAGTCTGAATGAAAAATTAGAAGAGTTAAATGCAAAAGTATATTGGTTACACCAATTCTTTACATATACTAACTAAAATTTTCTAGTATTAGTAACTAACTATTTTGCCTCAATTTTTATTTAAAAAATCGATTTTTTTTACCAGTCTGTGTTGGTCTTGCAACAGATAAGAGGTGATTTTGGGCAACACTAGCTATGGTCCTAAATGTGTCTCACACAAGCGTAGAAAATCATTTGCACAAGCTCGGCTGTTTCCAGGCTTAATGTTTGGGTCCCTCACATGATTTTGTTTGGAATTCACAAAAAAATGTTATAAATTCAATACGACTTTAGCTATCTACAAGAAATTTAGCAGGAATTTAGAGCCAATAAACTACACAAATGACATCAACAGGACTTTCGTAAACAAACTACAAATGGAGATAAAAAATAAAATGACTACAACTGATTAAGTTCAGTTATCACCTCAAGTCAGAATTAATGCACGCATAAAAAAAAAAAAAAAAATACTTTCACTTAAATATATATGTATTATACAGTTAGGGAAAGTATTGCGGTCGTTAAAAAAACATTTTGATGTCCCCTGAGTCCAAATAACTAAGTCGTCTGTGTATGAACAGTCTAGCGAAAAAACCAAAAGTCGTACGAAACTGATATGTATTCACTTTCAAATTCACTTTTATTCAAGTCCATCTATAAAATTAGGAATCAAAACTAAGATTTGCGCACTCTACGTGATATTCCCTTTCTATTGATACCTCATTCGTCAAAATCCATCACTCCTCAGAGCCGGAAAAGAGATATATATTTGAGCAATAATTTATATGAAGGTAAGAGGGATCCCAATCTCGTCACCATAGCGACAAACCATTTCACTTTTGGAATTTTTCCTCTGTAGCTAACCATTCATCCACTAAATCATTCATAACTCCTCAGGATGTTCTCCAAATTCAATGATACTATTATAGAATATACGTTGGAAAGCTGAATTATAGTTCTTCAAAGCCCTATGAATGTTTTTTCGATTCAATGTCTATACAAGGAATAAATAAACAAAAACTCCTTATAGGTTTTTGTTTGAGAAATAATATATAAGATGGCTCAATTTTTTTCTGAAAAAAAAAACGATTTTCAACCACTGTGCGGCGGCGTCGCTAGATCCGGCAAAAAGTATAATTTATAAATATTCTTACAGACATCATGGTTTCCAAATTGACGGGGTACATCCTGATGGCAGTGAGGGTGACTCCTTTCTTAGCCCTCACCATCATCATCTGAGCCGTCTTTCGGAAGTCAACGTCCGCCTTGTACCAGTCGCTGCTATAGACCGCCAAGTCCAGCTCCGAGCTCTGTCTGCCAAGAGAGGATTAGGGGCAGCTCTTGGAAGAGGTATTTCAAAAAGTTGAAATGTGCGTTCGGACATTTCACAAACTATGACAAACACAATCATCTAAACGATTGTCTCCCTACGCTAGTGTTCTGTTTCTTATTTTTTATGTTTTCTATCTATTATCGGTACAAAGAGAAATAAAATAAAAAGTTTGGCTTAACAATAATGTCACTGCTAGGTTAGTTTGATGTTTGTGTTTGTCATAGTTTGTGAAATGTCTAAACGCACCTTTACAAATATTTCAAAAGGTTCAACCTTGAATAAGTGGTTACAATACATTAGTAATAGTGCAGTGAGGAAGCTATACCTATCCCTAACACATTTGACTTGTAAACGATATTATTCTAATTTGGTTACCAGATGGAAGGTAAAAATGAACGAATCCAAGAGGTTAATCCATTTGAAATCATCCAGATCATAATGCTCGAAATTTTTTAATTTTATAATTTCTTATACCAGTTATTTCATATTTAATTGAGAGTTCAAAACCGTAGTAAACAAAATTTAAGGCTCATTAATTTTTCTCTGCGTCCATTTTTAATTTTTTTTTCTCTACTGAAAATATGTTTTGGGAAAATACCTGTAACTCTAGTTATTTTGAAGATATCAAACCAAAATTAAAACTGAAATAATTTAGAGTATTTTTTCTACATTTATGTTTATCTATACATCACCTAAAAAGAAAGAAAAGTGGTTTAAAATAAATCATGAAAAT